GCTTAGACTGTATTTGGTGTGAAGAACATGACAGTCAAACTTGTGTTAAATGCAGCTGTCAAGGATGAGAGTAGTCTGGCTGCAGTGGCCTTCAGAGCTGAGGGACTTCAGTTCTGTTAGTCCTAGCACATAGCTGACTTCTTCCAGTGGCGTAGCTGGTTAAGCACAATTGGCTACAGGTAAGGAATATTTCTCCTTCTACCAAAAACTCGGGAGACTTGGAAATGGAATACAAGCAATGTGAGACTAGCATTGGAGTTTTAGTAGTTTTGACTTAGACTCACATAGTTGTCAGGTGTGGATTGATGTTTGACCTCTTTGGAACTGAATACTGAGTAAGATACCTCCTAGGTCTGGGATACGATTTGTTTTACTTTGGTACAGTTTCCATTGAACCAGGGCCTCATCTGTGCCACCAAACCTAGTGTTTGGCATCTCATCTAACTGAAGTGGGTACACATCTTCCAAATTTTAAATCTGGCAGAAAGGTCCTTCCAATAATATTCATACTGGGATTTTGAGGGGTTCTCCTCATTTCTATTTAATGGGGTGAGAGACCAGTGTTACATAAATTTATGAGAATTTTGCTGTTGCCAACTCAGCTTTGTTTGGGGTAGGAGAATAGTTTTTTGCAGTTCTCAGTAGGAGAACCCGGCAGCTGGGCAGAAGGAAGCTAGTCGGAACAGTCTGAAAGGAGAGCTTTGGTAAAAGCTGGAGAAAAGCTGGGGTTGAAGCTGGTTCTGAAAAGCCCATAAACTTGAGTGCAGAGGCATTTCTCTGTTGCTTAGCACACTGTTGGCCTTTCGAGGTTGGCAGGATGCTATTGTTTTGCCCTAAAGAGATGAGAGAGAGGCACGGAGGCTGGGAATCCAACCAGAAAGTAGTCCCTAATATTTGTGCCACTGTTGAATCCATAGGCATGTCTTGTGGTCCCATTGTTATTTGCAGTTCAGAGAACAAGTACAGTCTTACATGGGTAAGACTGTTGGTGACTTTTCCCCTGGCAGTCTGCGCAGCATCCTGGTACCTAGCAATTAGCATTAGAGGTCGAAAGCTTCCTGGTCAGTACTGACTTGCTTTCTCCATGTCCTGTGACCAGTGAATGTAGTTTTCACAGCTCTTCAACAGCTGGCCTGACCATCAAGTTCTGTCAGGCAACCAAGAACAATGATATTAGTCTATATTGTTTTGGGTGTTTCCAGAACATCTCCAACCACAAATTTGAGAGGAGGTGTCCCACACCTTAGCACTGGGCTTTTTATTTCACATTCTGTATCTCCAAGGTAAGCATATGATCCCCAGAGTAGGGTAATTCCACAATTAAATAAACTTTAATATGGGAGGTTTATAATATTGCTTGCATATGCTTTTTGGAGCACCCTTTGGGTTAGACGCCTCTGCCCTATCCTCTTATGCTTGTATATTTGGATGGATTGCCATGTTTAAATAATACTAGCCAGTCATTGGTGAAGGTCTTTAGTTGGTTTGTTTGATGTTTTCTCCTTTGACACTCAAGTTCTGTGCTTTGGTAGACATGTCACTTAGGGGACATTATGTCCTCACTATCACGCTGGAGGCTCATAGCATCACTCCTGATAAGGCCGACTTTGATAACCGGTTATGGCCATCCCCCACCCCCCCTTTATTTAAAGGTTTTTCAAGGCAGGGTCTCTGTGTAGTTCTGGCTGTCTTGAGACTCAAACTGTGGACCAGGCTGGCCTCAAACCCGCAGAGATCCGCCTGCCTCTGCTTCCTAAGCACTGGGATTAAAGGTGTGTGCCACCACCAGCTCGTTTTAGTCATTTATTCCACCATTCCCCCCAAAAAAGTTCATGGAATAATCTTTCTTAGACTTTTACTATTCTATTATTTATAAGTGTAATTTTTTTCTAGTCTTATTTATTTAAAAACATTGTTTATTTGGGAGGGGAACTTATGCATGCACAGGCTTGTATGGAGGCCAGAGGACAGTTTATAGGAGTGGTCGTCAGGCTTGGCAGCGGCAAATGCCATAACTCACTGAGCTGTCTTGCTGACCTGTTTCTGTTTCTTTTGCTACTAAACTTTATGGCTCATTGATTGATGTTCACCGTCCGACTCAATTATTCTTTTGATGGCATCTTGTAATTTTAAAGTAAAATCTTTAAAAAAAATATTAATTGATCTTCTCCTAAGAAGTGCTTCAGTCTTCCAAGTACTAGGATTACAGGTGTGAGTCACAACACTAGCTTCTCAAATTAAAAAAATAGCTACAGTCAGTCTGCGGAGTCTTCATCCTCGCTTCCTCTGCGTCTTGGTGAAGCAGCCTGCTCCCAGGGTAAAGAACACGCCTGTTCTCTCTAATAGTAGCTGCATGGCTTCACTGTTGCTCCTTTAGACCCTGATTCATTTGGAGGTGGGATCTGGTTTTATTTATCTCCAAATGGCTGTGCAGTCTTTTTAACACCATTTCTTTAAAAGTGCGTTTTAATCAGGTAATGTTCATGTCTCCCTTAGTTTGCATGAAGCTGCATGTCTCCTTGAGGCTGTTTTTGACATATGGGAAGTCCTTGGTCTGTCGTGTCTGTGTGCATCACACTTTCCGTTATGGAGGTTTTATGGTGGACTATACCACCTGGAAGAATATACCATCCTCCCTCTAGTACCTGAGTGTTTTGTTTTCAATATGAAATTCTCTTTCAGTCACCCACTTAAAAACTTGGTGTATTTGTAAAAGTTACAGTTATTTTATATATTTACGTAAGTGAACTGACATTTTATATTAGATTGTTTTGTCAGAAAATAAGAGCTCTTATTTGGTTAAGTCTTCTTTTGTGTCTTCTCTGGAATGTTTTAAGGTTTTCCTCTAATGGATTTTACACATTTCTTATTATGAAACTTGCATTTTTTCCACTTACTATTCTGTCAAGCAGGTCAGTACATGTTGACCCATTTTATTTTGTAAATGGATCCAGGGTAGTCTGCCATGCCCTAATTTAATTTAACTTTGCCTCTGTTGATGTATGCATGTTACTTTTAATTTTCCCACTTCCGAGCAGTTAGAATTGGAATTGCTTATTCATAAACCATCTGGATTTGGGGGGTAATAAGTCCTGCCAAGTTATCTGATGAAATCATGCAAACTTTAGTGCATATGTACATTGTTTTCAGATCTTCAAACTTCTTTTTTAAGGAAAAACCAGATCTTCAAACTTCTTTTTTAAGGAAAAACACCGCAAAATTACTCCTCTAAAAGTTGTGTGTGTTCATCAACCTGGATAATACACAGTAGCAGGGGCTGGGGGTACAGTTCAGTTACTCAGTGTGTGGGAGACCCGAGGTTCAGTTGCCAGAGCACTGTGAATAATAAAGTAGCATAAGTCACAGCTTCTACCTTGAATAACTGGAACATAGTCTTGAAAACGACATTTATATACATGTGAAAGTTCTCACGGGAGGAAACCTTAAGTGGAGCCCAAAAGAAGGCATTGCTGGGTCTAGTGTCAACACCCTCAAACCCACACTCAAGGGGCAGGAGCAGGTGGATCTCTTGAGTTCGGAGCTAACTTGGACTGCACAGCAAGTTCCAGATCCAGGGCTATGTAGTGAGACCTTGTTTTATCCTCCCCTCCCACAGGAGCGTGCAGAAAGTTAGTTTGGTGTGCTTGTGCTCCTGACATAGGTTAAACTGACCTCATCTTGCCAGGGATAGAAACACCCTACACTAAAATGGTGTCTCTATGCAAAGATGACTTTGAGGTGAGGCCCAAAGAAACACTTGAGGTTTGGTTTCCTTGACATCAGAGAGTCTTCTGGCAAGGTGACAAATCACCCTCAAATTCAGAGGTTGGAGTTAACAGTAAACACTAATTTTCTCTAGCAGTGTGTTGGGGGGTGGGATGGGGTTGGTTGGGTTCGGGACTGGGATCTCTTCTAGTATTCAGTCAAAAATGTTAGGTTCCCATCCTCCTGCTGGATAGGCTGGAGGGTCCTCTTGCAGGGTGGTGCATTCCCTGGTGCTGGTGGCTTGTGGAGGCGTGAGTTTCTCCACAGAGATGAGCGTCCCCTGATGGAGAGATCCAGTGAAACAGGGCAGATGCTTCAGTGCCTTTTCATCTTCCTGTTGGAAGCCGTCCGTGGTCACTCTCTCCACGTTCTATTCCTTAGAAACAAGCTGTAAGTTCAGCCCACATCCAAGAGCAGGGCATCTAAGTTTCACATTTTCAAGAGGGAATGTCGAAGAATCTGGGAACAGATTGTGAAACCTACACACTGTCCTGTCTGTTCTAAAAAGGAGGAGTGGTGCTAACGTTTGAAAAGGGAAAACACTCCTCCCCCTCCGCCACCCTCAGGGTATCGAAGAAGAAGCTGGTTGTAGTGGTGAAGGTTAACTGACTGAGAGAGACCTCCCCGGTGCTGGAAGAGAGGTTTAGCTGAGGTGGGGGAGTGGGGGAGAAGTAGGGTGAGTGGAAGAATGGCGGCCTCAGAATGATGAGCCAATGACAAGGAAGAGAGAGACCAAGCATGTCAGAATTGGGAAGGAAAGCAGGCTTTGAGGGAAAGGGGGAGCTGATTTGGTTGTGAACATTCAGGGGGAGATTCCTAAGGAGTTGAAATTGAACAGCCAAGATCCAGGTTGAAACCTCTCCCCAGAGAGGTGCCACCATGAGGGCCGGGACGGGGCAGGGGGCGCACAGTTCGGTGCAGGGCTGGAGAAATGAGGCTGATGTGTAGCATGAGGGTGAAGGAAGAGCAGCTGCCTTCCTGGCAGGAGGGAACTGGAGCGATCCAGAGCCCTCAGGTGTTGGGGTTTGAAGAGAGCTGTGTTTAGAAAGAAAGCATTTGCAGAACTGTGAAGGTGATGGCCGTTTAAGTGTGGTAGAACTTTGGAAATTGGATTATCACATCTACATAGATGCTCAACTTTTTAAATTGCTTGAGATTGGGAGAACAAGTGACCGGCATTCCGGAAGTTCCCTTTCTTTGATGTTGAAATCTTCTGTCTTCATGATTCCTTTTAGAACCACCATGGCTCCCAGGGATGGTGTCCTCTGCAGGCAGAGTTTTGTCTCACACACTTCTGGGAATCTTAACTGTAAGTGAAATCTGTTTCCCTTATTTTTTTTTTCTCTTCTACAGCTGCCTTCTAACCGTCCTCCACTCTTGAAATGTGTTTTTATATGTGTGCATGCTCAAGTATGTGCACCACAGCACACATGTGGGGCTCAGAGAACAGCTTGTGGCCACTGGTTCTCTCCTCCGAAGTCAGGCAGGTAATTTTGTCAGGCTTTGTGACGGACTCTCTTACCCTCTGAGCCATCTTGCCAGCCCTACTCCTCCTCTCCCCTCCCTTCTGCTTATGGCTTTTTAAATGCTTTTATAAGAGACTGCAATTTATTACCTCCCACATTAAGCATGATTCTCTTAAGTTTTTGTTAATTAAACCTGGAATTTATACATAACAACTATGATTAAAATGACTGTCATGTAAATGGTAAATTGAGATCATACTTAATACTCACCTATGCATGTATGTCTATATAAAACATAATCAGTTTTCACATTAGGAAAATAGCTTGTAAGTCTTTGTATGTAACAGTATATTCTAAGGTTTCGATAAAGACTTGAGGTTAAATGCAATAAGGACTTCTTCAGATTAAACATCAAGGTTCCTCTGAATTGTGGCTGCATTTCCTCTACCATGTGGTATAGTGATTATTTTCCTGTTGTTTTTCTTGAATAGGATTTTAAGTCTACTAAATACTTAAGAGAAGCTAAACCAGACTGGCAATAATTGCTGTGATTCTAAAAGAGTTTTGCTTTGTTTGATGATGATGATGTTGTTGTCGCTGTTGTTCTGAGATAGGATTTTATGTAGGTCAAGCTACCATGAACTCCCTGTAGCTGAGATTGGCCTTGTGGAACCCCATCCTCCCCATCTCCCATTTCCCCAGTGCTGGCTTTACAGGTATACACCATCCTTCCTAAAGAGCAGCATATACCTCATGCTGGGATAAAGGAACTATTGTTAAGTTTCTTTTAGCACAAAAATACCTGATTGGTTGTGGTCAGTATGCTCTTTAAATCAGAAGGGCAGCCTTCCATGAATGGAGTCTGGTTTTGCAGAATACATGGGAGGCCAGGAATATGAGAAGAAGCGGCAGAAATGGAGGATTGGGAAAACCCTAGTCTGTGTAGCCCAGGTGATAACTGACAACAGGGGCATGGGAAAGGGTGTGGGCTGCAAACTTGCCCTGCCTCAAGCTGCAGGTAGTTCTTAGTGCTCCCCAAACAGGCATCAAGCTGCTTCCATGTGTGCGCAGGTGTAAGAAGGAAGGCAGGAGGAGAGGAATGTGTTCTTCTCAGGAGAAAGCTGCATTGTCATTCCCGTGTTAAAGATCTAAGTAGATTGGCAAACATCTTTGGCCAGTTTATTTGGGCAGTTGACAAAAACTCTAGGTAATTGACCCCCACCCCTTTTCCTGTTTCCTTTCTCTTTTCCTGTTCTTACCCATCCTATTCTTACTGCTTTTTCTGTACATTCTTTCTTGGACAACAGCAGATCTAGAAAGTTCTTAGGTCATTAATCCCATTCCCAGAGTCTACACTCTCAGGAAATATTGTCACCCTTCAAGCTCCTCTGATTCCAGAATGTTTTGGAAACTACATCATTGAGCTTCCAGGACATCTGTAATTAATATTTATTTACAAATTTGATGTCCAAACTGGTAGCTCTTTAGAAGAAGGGGTTAAGACAGACTTACTTGAACGGCCCTACATTTAATATGTTAGTGAACAAGAGCATGCATGCTTTTCTCTCCCTGTTTACGCCTCTAGAATAGTAGCAGCACGGGGGCTGGAGATCTGGGACTAGAGAGGGAAAGGATCTGGGCTGACTGGAGTGGAGTGACAGAGCTGCTCATCTGAAGTGTTCCGAGGCGGGTGTGTCAGGGAACCAGAAACCACATGCAGTGCTGTGGCCTATGCTGCGTCCTCGTGCCCAGCCTGGTCAGACATTTGTCCCATTCCCAATTAACTTGCCTGGGGTGGTCTGAACATTCTGAGGTTTGTCTGGAGTCTTTAGAAAAATGACTGTTGATCATACTGGGGAGACGCAGGAAAAGTTTCTGGGGCTCTGTGTGGCACACTGTAGAGGTGGGGACTTCAGGGCTTGAGCTCGTGGCAGCAGGAGAGTAGTGAGGAATGAGCTTGGAGAGGGCGCTATGTAGAGTGCTGAGGATGGGTCTTCCTTCCCCAAGCTGGCTTCAGGGGAATTGTGGGATGTTTCAAATTCAAAGGAATGATGTAGGTCGGCTAGAGAACTTGAAAAGATGGCGAATCCTTGGAACAGCCATTGGGATTTAGAAAGAGCAGCGAGGGGCAGGAGAGGAAATGAATTTTTTCCCCAGTAACCAGGGCATTATGGTATAGGTTGAAGGTAGGGAATGGAAGGAGTTAGAAAATCCTGAGCTTTCTCTGAAAAAGTAGCCTCTTGCCTGGGAGTTAGAACTGCTTCATGATTGATCTCTTAAATCATTGCTGTTTTTCAAGACAGTTTAAGATTCTTTTGAATATTTAACTTTTTAAGAATTAACCATTGTGTGTTAAAATAGTGTTTTCTATCCTTAAGTGCGCAGATGGCATCACATACCTCACTCCCATACATCTCCTGCAACTGAGATGTTCTGCACAGTAAACAGCTCTCCCTTAAGATGAGCCAGGTAGCATCTGTCCTTCTGTGACAGACTCACTTCACTTTGCTTAGTGTGTTCAGAGTTCATCTGTGTCTTAGCATGTATCATAGTTCACCTCAGTATTTCTTTGAGACAGATTTTCATTATGTGGCCTGCACTGACCCAGAACTTAGGCATCCTCCTGCCTCAGCTCTGCAACCGCTGGGGTCACAGCTGTGCTTTTTAAGGTTGCCCTGTTGTCCAGCAAAGGTATCCAGCTACTTTGATACTAAACAGTTCTGATTCAGTCCTTAAGCCTTTCAGAACAAATAGGGGACTAGAGAGATGGTTCCACAGTTAAGAGCACTTGCTGCTCTAGCATAGGACCCAGGTTTGGTTCCCAGTACCTGCAGAGTGGCTCACAGTCAGTTCCAGGGTATCTGGGACCAGCTGTGATGACTACAGGCATCAAGCACACACGTGGAGCACATACATACATACATACACACAAGCAAGACACACATATAAAAGATGAGTCATAAAAAAGGTTAAAGTCAAAACAGTATCAGACCTTTGTTCCAGATTGGTTGTTTTGTTTTGTTTTGTTTTGTTTTTGTTTTTCGAGACAGGGTTTCTCTGTGATTTTGGAGCCTGTCCTGGAACTAGCTCTTTTAGACCAGGCTGGTCTCGAACTCACAGAGATCCACCTGTCTCTGCCTCCCGAGTGCTGGGATTAAAGGCGTGCGCCACCACCGCCCGGCCAGATTGGTTGTATATAACTAATTCATCTCACGGTCCAGTCTGTTGTATGAGGTTATTGTCCAGTTAGTTCTGATTTAGCTGTCAGAACATAGTTGATAGATTTGGAAGATAGATTTAAGAAGGAAACTACCTTTTTTAAAAAAAGATAAAATAACTAAGAGGTTCTATCAGTCACAGAAAAGAGACTCCCTCCAAAAAAAAAACCCACTGATTTTTTAAGGCTCTCTGCAAACCAAATATTATTCAAGTAATCTGCATTTCAAGCCAAAAGCTATAATCTGAAAATTGCTATGTTGAAGGGTTGCTTTTTCCTTCTTTTTTTTTTTTTTTTTTAATCTTTCTGGGTCTCTATATATTGTGCCAGTGAAAATCATTTCTCTTTGAAGATCTAAGACTGATGAGCATGAAATCCAAGGCTGTTGGAATGGGCAGTCCTGAGAGCGTACCCAGAGCCATTCATTGAGCCATAGTCGCTCCACTCGGGGCCTCTGGGAGGAAGCTCGGCCTTTGGTGTAGTTCTCAGCCGGCTTTTTCTGCATGTTTCTGTTCAGCGTGTTGCTTTGGAACCTGAGAGAGACCTGCTGGTTGAGAGTTTTATCGTCATCCCGTGACCAGTTGTCAGAGAGAACCATGGTCTGAAGCTCATGTTGATTTTAGAGGTATTCTCGGAAGCCCTTTCTGGAAGGAGATAAAAGGCAGGAAGAGTACCAGCAGCTGGATTCAGTCTTGATATGGATGCTTTGGAAAATGATAAGTGGTTCTGGGGGACCATCCAAGGGGATGAGATTACAGCCTCCTGAACACGGGAAGACAGCTAACAGTCCGTGAAAGGGATGCCAGATGTCTTCAGGTCTCCTCCAAGCTTCCTGGAGAAGAGATGAGATGAGTGTTTTCTGTCCACTCCGTTTTTTCTCTCCGATGGAGGTTGTAAGATCTCTAGTCTGTCAGTGGTTCATACAGTTTACTTTCTAAGTGAGTAGCAGTCTCAGCCTCGGATTTAAGGTGGTTGTCTGATGGAGACGGAATAGCTTTTATAACCGCTAGTTACCACCTTTCATAAAGGCTGTAACAACAACTAGTTAAGTTCAAGTCTCTGGAGGAAATGGTCTCATCTTGAAAACCATAGACGAAGAAGGGCATCTGACCAAAGCCAAGGGATATTGGACTGTAGTTGCGTGGTCACATGCTGCTGTTTTATCCAAGTGTAAAGGAATGCAGGGTGCACATGCCATGGAAAAGGATATTTTTGTAGGATGCAACTTGTGTGACTCTGTGAGTCAGGTGAGTGGGTGATTCTGGGCATTCAGCAAGAAGTGAGAATCCATATTGAGTAGAACAGGAGCAAGCCCAAGAATACACTAGGCAAGGGGAAGATTCTGGAAGGAGGAGATTGGGTGGTTAGATGGTGGTGGGTCCAACAGCTGTGGAGAGAAGGCATTTAATCTGAAAGGACTAGACCTGGCACCCAACAGGAAAAGAATTTCTCTTGAGACTTGCTCAGTCTGGGTCTGGTGGAGATGGACTGACCCCAGGGGATTGCTAGCCAGAGGGGTTTGGAAGGGTCCCTTCTGTTAGGCCTAGCCTAATAATTGAGTACTGTGAGGTTATTGTGCTTAAAACATCCAGACTGTTAGGTTTTTTATTCCAAGATGCATGTTGG